ACCCAGAGGTAGAGGCAAGCATCCTGTTGGTTAAGGTCAGCTGCTCAGGATCCCGGAATGTGCTCAACTCTTTATCTTGAACCAATCTTCAGAAAAAGACCCTTCAGGACTTTACCAAAAAAAATAGTTGTAGCCAGCTTATTGGGTCTTTTCCTATGGGCTAAGCACTTCCCAAATTGGGCTTCCCAACTGTGCAGGGCATTGGGCTGTGCTGCCCACTGCTTTTGAATAATAAGGAAAAGTAGAAGAAAACGATCAGAAGCTGCAGTTCCTCTTCTGAGCTCTGTCACCGCTGGGAATGCCTAATGGTCACTCCTGTTCCTCAAAAGGACAGTCACCCAATTACAAATAACCAACAGGGCCCGAGACTCTTCCTGTCTGCCTTTACAAATCAATGTCATTACTCCAGCAGGACAACTCTCCTTATTGCGTTTAAAAAACAAAAAAACAATCTATACATGCCTCCCCGTCCCGCACCCTGGGATGTCCGCACGCGCTCCGGAGCGGCGGGTGCGCGCGTTCTCCAAGACTTACGGTAAGCGCGGCGCGCAGAGCAACCACGTGGCGGCGGAACCGAGGCCGGGCGGGAATGTGCGGAATGCGCAGCGCGGCCCCGCGCTGCTCCGGAGCCAAGGCCCCGGTTCCCGCGGCGCGCGCCCTCGCCTCCCATCTCTCCTCAATCGGAGCCCCCCCCCCCGATCTCCCGAGACTCGCAGGAGTAGGTCGAGCCCCGCGCAAGCACCGTGGCGGCGTTTGGGGACAGAGCGCGGCCCATCGGGCTCCTCGGACTCCGCACGCCCAGAACTCCCCAAAGGGTCCAATCCCGTGACCGCCGCCACCAGCCCCGACCGCACGAGGCCAGGGAACCCAAGAGCAGGGGTGTAGGGCGTTGGGTATGCAACCCCTCTCCCTGCACCTGGAAAAGAATTTCCTTTCCTTTTCCCCTCTTGGCAAGTGTCTGGAGCCCCAGAACTCGGAGGTTCCCCATAATAAAGACCTCGGCCATCCCTCCACCCACCCCCAAGGCCAAAGCGAAGCGTGGAAACGCTTTCGCTCTCGGGCATTCCAAGGGCACAAAGAAACAGGCACGAGGATGTGGTCACATCCCGAACACGGTCTCTGGGAAAGCGCAGGGATGGGGAGCCAGTGACCAATCCTCCAGGCGAATGAGGGGGCGTCGAGCCCTCACCGGGAGGGGGGGCAGAGAACATTGCGGGAGCCCACAGGTCTTAGCACTGGTCCTCCTCCAAGAAGGTCCGGCTCCAGCGAGCCGGCCGGCTGGGTACCGAGCCCCTCCCCCCACCCCCCCCCCCCCCCCCCCCCCCACCCCCCCGCGAGTCTCCGTAGGGGTGCTCCGCGCGCTCGCCAGGGGCGGGGTCTGCTCCGCCTCGGGTAGGCCGCAGCCCAGCTTGGCCAAGGGAGAAGCGGATGGGACTTGGGCTCCCAGGTCATTACCCCCGCCCCCCGACCGATCTCTTTGCTTCGGTTGGAGGTGGTTACCTGCTCAGTCTGGGCGCCCACTCCGCGGCACTTGGCTAGAGACGGGCCAGGGGCCTGAGTCAAGAGGCCAAGGAATTCCTAGCGAATTTGGGGGTTTCATATTGCTCAGGGCACCAGGCGATGCTTTTTGAGGGACGAAGTTCAAGGAGTTAAGATGCTTTCACCCTTAAGAGTGCACCTTCTCCCTAGGGAAACCGGGGGCGTTGGGGGCCCCCCCCCCCCCCCCCGCACCACCTGTTGGGGTTTGCTTTTTAACTCCGGGCACACCTTGCTCACGGCCTTCAGACCTGGGGGAGGAGTGTCCCGTCCCCGCATCCTGCCAGACCGACGACTGGGGCTCGGGGAGGGGGTTGGTCTGTGTGTGGCAAAAATTAATTGATCAGGGGCGGAAACAAGTCCGTGGCTTGGGACGGTGGGAGGTGCGGCTGCCCCTGCTCCCAGCGTGTGGCTGTCCTAGGTGGGTGCCGGATCCAGAGTTCGTCCCGGCGCTCCCCGCAGCTTTGGAGCGCCAAGAGTCCGCACCGTGTAGCCCTGGCGGAGCTGCTGCAGCGCGTGCACCTCTAGGAGCTTCGGAGGTGACCAGGGTGGGGGAAGGGGGGGCCCCACTGCCCCGGTACCCCGCGGCCTGCATTCGGAAGCATTTTCCTGAGCGACTTAAGGGTTTAGTCCTTTCAAGTCGCCGCCAGGTATATGCCGCTGCAGGTGACCCCACCTGGGTGCGCCCCCTTCGGTCCCGTGTAGGGTGGGCGGCTGCGGGAGGTCGATGCCAGAAGTAGATCTCCACCGGGCCCTGCGCCCCCTCCCCAAAGCGCCGCTCTGGGCGGCGCGCAGCCGCAGTGCGTGCAGGGGTCGGCGCCGCGGCGGGCCGGTTCCTGAATGAACGCGCTCCCTTCCCCCGCCTGAATGAAGGTTCCCACAGCCAGGGACGGTGGCAAACGCGCCTGCCGCGGAATTCGCCCTCTCGGGGCCGGAGATCCGCTCGGGCCCGCCGCAGTCTCCCCTGCGGGCGGGTGGGCGTCAAGGAAAGCGGGAAGGTGATTTAAGTTACTTTTGGATTTTTTTTCCAGCCAACGTAGTGCCTTCCCTATCGGGTCGCTGGCCCTTTGTCTCCGAATAGTCACCGAGAAATAATAGCAGAGCACTTTAAACGAGCCCAGAACTCGCAGTTCCTGCCTCGTGGTGGGTTTTTAAAAGGCAGTGCAAGATTAAAACTGCAACAGAAAAGTTGTTAAGAGTTGCTATTCTCTTTGGGGAAAAAAATTAAAATAAAAACGCGTCCTCGGCTCTCCTAGAAGCAGCCGCCCTCAAGGGCCCAGGGCTGGCGGACCCCTCTATAGCTCCAGGGACGCGTATCTGGGCGCCCCGGGGTGGGGGCTGGGCCACTCGCGCTCCCCGCCAGGCCCCAAATTCCTGCGCCTCCCCCGCGGGTTCCTGGACGGCTCTTCACGCTCGTCGGCCGGGCTTGCACTTTTGCGCCCGTCCCTGAGCGGGGAAATCAACGAAGTTCCTAGTTGAGATCTGCCCGGTCCGCCTAGTAACAGCGCCGCGCCCCCATTGGCTCATGCTAATTCCAGTTTCCTCTGTCTTTCTCCTGGGTTAGGGGGAAGCTCCCTCCTGGACCCGGAGCCCGTTTTGCCGTAGTGGGCGAGCCTCTTTATGACCCGCTGCCCCTCGCCGTCGCCGGCCTCCTCGGGCCGGGCCGGGGCGCCCGCGGGGCTCGGACCCCTCGCCCCGCGGGGCAGCAGCCGCCCGGTAATAGCGCGCAGCCCCATAAATCATCGGGGCAGCCGCCCGGTTGGGATTTTATGAATGAAAAAGCAGCCGGGCCGCCCTCGTGCGCGGGCTGCTGCTACTGCGAGGCACCGGCGTGCCCGGGGCCGACGCGAGCGTGGGTGCCCGGGGAGGGGGACAAGGCGGTGGGCGCTCCCTGCTCGGGCCACCCACCGCTTCCGAGGCGTGAGCCGGGGGTAATTACCCTCCTGGACCCGGAATATTAGTAACCCTAATTCCCGGCGGGGGAGGGGAACGCGAAGATTCAGCCCTGAGGGGGGGGGGGTGTCTAGTCTCACTGCGTGCACCCTTGCGAAGGGGAGGGGGCTTTTTCATCCGTTTTCTCTGAGCCTGTAATGTTAGGGGATACGGCGGTTTGATGACACTAAACTATATTCAGAGGGAAGTAAATGAACAGTTTTCTTAGTTGGGAGCAAGTAGTGTGAAAACTTCTCAAAAAAACTTAAGATTTGGCAAAATGTCCTTTTATTTTTTTAAAAAAAAAAGGCACCAAAAAGACTAAATCTGAACAAAAATTTTTAAAAACCCACTTTTTTATATTCTTTTATATGGCTCTTAAGATAGCGATAACATTGCGTTCCCTCTCGTATAACCACTAATATATCTAGATTTTGTTTAAAAGCAGATCAATACACCCATTTCTTTAACTTAACAATTGTTCTAATTTCTGCCAGCCCCTGCCATCCCCCCCCCCACAGGCTCACGAATGCAGCCCCGGGCTAATTGTAAAGGTGCAGAGATGTCCACACCCCCAAAAAACCAAATAGGAAGCTTCCGGTGGTCTTGTCACAGGCAAGAGAAGCGACTAATATTTCCAGCGATTTATTTATTTTTTTTAATTAAAAAATAAGTCAGGACAGAGACCACTATTTTGTAGCCTTCCATTCAGGGCGTTTTCCTAGTTCTTAAATTGCTGGGATGGGCGTGGGGGGTTGAGGGGGGATTGGGGATCCCTGAAAGGAGGTATTGGCCAAGGTAGGAAGACAACCCGCAGATCCCCCAGGCAGGAGGAAATGCTGGCCACCATCTTGGGCTGCTGCTGGAATTTTCGGGCATTTATTTTATTTATTTTATTTTTTGAGCGAGCACATGCTAGGCTGAAATCCCTTTATGGCTTAGGGATACCCCCTCGGGCATTTGCAACGACCCCCCCTGACGCGGGAACGAAGCCTCCACCAGGGTCGCGGACTCTGCTTCGCGTCCCCGAGTGCTAAGTGGTTCCTGAAACTTACACGTGTTAATGAAAATGAAAGAAGATGTAGACGCTGAGGTCCCTTGGCCGCCTCTCCGCCCGTGGGTGCCCTCGTGGCGTTTTCGGAAATGCGCCCATTCTCCCGGCTCGGATATAGGGTGTCGCCGAGCCCCAGAGTCCCCCCCCAATGCGGTCCCCCCCCACCCCAGTTGTTCCCCCCTGCAGAGCCACCTCCACCCACCCCCCCAAATCCCGGGGGACCCACTCGGGGAGGGCAGACACCCCTGCACCCCTCTTTCCCGGCGGGGAGAAAGGCAGCCTTGGGCGATTTGCATTTCTATGAAAACCAGGCTTCGGGGACAACTCCGCCGCGGGGCAGGCGCGGCGCCTCGGGGATGGCTTTTGGGCTCTGCCCCTCTCCGCTCCCCGGCGCTCGCAGCCCGCGCCCCCTCCCCCCGCGCCCCCCCGCCCCCCCCCCCCCCCCCCGCCCGCTCCCATTCTCTGCCCGGCTTTGATCTCTGCTTAACAACAGTAACGTCACACGGACTACAGGGGAGTTTTGTTGGAAGTTGCAAAGTCCTGGAGCCTCCAGAGGGCTGTCGGCGCAGTAGCAGCGAGCAGCAGCGTCCGCGCGCTCCGGCGAGGGGCAGACGAGCTCGAGGGAGCGCGGGGTAGCGGGAGCTAGAGCCGAGCGCGCACCGACCCGGGACCCGCCGCCGTCCCCAGGCCGCTCAGTAGAGCCCCAGCCATGGCACACCAACTCTTATGCTGCGAGGTGGAGACCATCCGCCGGGCGTACCCCGATGCCAACCTCCTCAACGACCGGGTGCTGCGGGCCATGCTCAAGGCGGAGGAGACCTGCGCACCCTCCGTGTCCTACTTCAAGTGTGTGCAGAAGGAGATCCTGCCGTCCATGCGGAAGATCGTGGCCACCTGGATGCTGGAGGTGCGGGGCTTCGGGCGGCTCTCTTAGGGCTTTTCCTGCAACTTGTTGCCCAAACCCACATTTCTTTGCCGCTCGTCTCCCTCCCTTCTCTCCCACCCCAACTTTGAAGTTTGCCGGGGTGCTGCTAGGAATCGCATTTTCAAAATATATAGATATTGTGGGTATTTTTTGAACGAAAAAGGGGTGGGGGTGGGGTCGTTTGAAATTCCCTATCCTGGCGGGGTTAGTAGGGGGGGGAGCGGTCGGGGAGAGGACCCTTCGGGGAAAGCCAGTTGCCAGGGGCACCCCAGTTGGCTCGAGGGTGCGGGCCGGCGGCCTGGGCGCCCTTTGTGGCCCCCGCCTGCGCCCGAACCCCGCTGCGCCTCCTCTCCGGCTGCACTGCCGCGAGCCGCCTGCTCCAGGGGGAGGGGGCATAGATTTGATTTTTAAATTAATATCCATGGACACGTATGCAAGGGCCGCTCGTGCCAGTATTATGCGCCATCTTTGTTCTTTTATTGCAAAGCAAAAGTGTTTATTAATAATTGGGGGCAGGGTGGGGGCGGGGAGCGGCCGGCGAGGCGCTGGGGCCGCCGCGAGGGGCCGAGCGGCCGCCGGGAACCGGAGGGAGGGGCGCGGGGACGGAGCGCGGGCAGCTTGGGGGGGACCCCGCTCGGGGAGAGGGGCCCCTTTGTTCAAGCTGCAAGTCCCGGGGCGCCCCGCACGGCCAGCCTGGGCCGGAGAGCACGCCGAGCTGCAAGGTCGCGTGGCCCCCAAGACGCTGGGGATTGACCCTGGTTTGCAGGGGTCTCAGCTTGGGGGACCTTTCTGGAACGAGCCGGCGGCCCGGGGCACACTTTCAGGCCTTCGGCGGGCGCCCGGGGAGCCCGCAGATATTTTAAAATAATTTTTGAAAGTACGGCGTGGTGCCCTTGCGAGAGGGAAACGGCGCCCGCGCCCAGGGGGAAGGGGGGTGCCCCGAGTTTGAATTCCTGGGGCTCTCCCCAGAGCTTGCAACGAGCTCTCGACCCCCGGCCTGGGTAAAGGGCCGCCCGAGGGTCATTTTCAGGGGTTTTTTATGTACCCAGTTATTTTTTTTATATTTTTAAATATTTTTTGAAAAGATGACGTCTGGGGAAATGCGGCGCGGCGGCCTGGGACGCCACCTTTGTGTCTCGCAGGCGCTGTGAGCGCGGCGCCCAGCCCCGCGGCCCGCCCCGCGGCCCCGCACCCCATTTGGGGCGAGCCCCGGCCCGGCGGGCCCCGGAGCACCCACACGGGCCGGGGTCCCCGGGGCGGGCAGCCCGCGCGCGGCGCACGCTGCCAGCCGTGCCCACTCCTGCCCCCACCGTGCCAGCCTCCCGGGGACTTTCCCTTTCAGTTTCGGGGTGGGTGGGCATTGGGGACATGCGGGGGAGGGGGCGCGGCAGCGGGTGCTTCTGCCGCCCCCCACGCCCGACCCCGCCGCGCGCTCGGGACCCGCCGCCCGTGCGCGAGCAGGGGTGGGGGGCGCGGGGTCTCAGCGGAGGGGCCCGGCGGCGTCGGTCACGGTCCCCGTGCCCTGGCAGGTCTGCGAGGAGCAGAAGTGCGAGGAGGAGGTCTTCCCGCTGGCCATGAACTACCTGGACCGCTTCCTGTCGCTGGAGCCGGTGAAAAAGAGCCGCCTGCAGCTGCTGGGGGCCACCTGCATGTTCGTGGCCTCGAAGATGAAGGAGACCATCCCCCTGACGGCCGAGAAGCTGTGCATCTACACTGACAACTCCATCCGGCCTGACGAGCTGCTGGTAACCTGGGACCCCCACCGCCCACCGACGCCCTTTGAGCCCCAGGACCCCCCGGGGGTGGGGGAGGTGCTGAGGACGGGCGGCCCCCTGCAGGCCGCCGGCACACCCCACGCCCCGAGGACCGGCGGCCACACCGGCGGGGCCCTTCTCGAGGAGCGGGCGGGACCCCCGCCGCCCCCCATCCCCAGCGCGCCCCACCACACACTGTCGCTCGGACTCCCACCCCGTCTGCGCCCCTAGCGCGGCCGAAAAGTGGGCGGCGCGCGCCCTCTAGCGACAGCTGCGGGGGCAGCCCGCGCTGCTTACAAGGGTTTGCTTTTCAGGTGTGGGTCTCTTTTGTCCCCGCTTGGGAACCAACCCTCGGCCTCTTCTACGGCATCCTCTTTTAGGACTTCTTTTGGGGTGGCATGCTGTCTTCCATTTCCTGGACCCCCAGTATGCCCTATCCCTTCTCTTCTGGGCCGTGTCCCACCGAGTGGGGGGGGCCGGAGCTGCCCCCCTCACCTCACTTTATGCTGGTTCACCCCGCTTCCACAGCAAATGGAGCTGTTCCTGGTGAACAAACTCAAGTGGAACCTGGCCGCGATGACCCCGCATGATTTCATCGAGCACTTCCTCTCTAAGATGCCCGTGGCGGAAGAGAACAGACAGATCATCCGCAAGCACGCACAGACCTTCGTCGCCCTCTGTGCCACAGGTAGGGCGGCTGGGTCCTGCTGGTCCCCCACCCCGGGCTCCATGGGTGCCCCTTGCCCCTGGTGGAGGAGCATCTTACCCTTTGCCTCGGTTTCCCCGTCTGAAGAGCTGGGCCCCAGGCCCCTCCTGCTCTCGGAGGTGCTCCTCTTCCCTTGGACTGAGTTCTGGGGCTGGGTGGGGGGGGGGGGTGTCCCTTTCTGGGCCAGGCAGCTGAGGCTGGCCACGGCCACCATACGGTACCTTGGGGATGGGGGTGGGTGGTCCGCCAGGCTGTGGCCACTCCACGCTGAAAGGGGTTTACCTTGGCTGCCCAGCCTGCCTTCCCCACTCCGGTCCTTCTCTCCGCCCCCCCCACCAGTCCTTCCCCATGTCCTCAAGGGGCCCCCTTCTGGCCTCTCCCGGGCTGGGCCACCTGCCAGGGGCGCCTACAGGGGTGGGGAGCGACGGCCCGCAGTGCCTGCACCACGTGCTCTGGGCGGCCGGCAGCAGCCCTTGTGCGGGGGCGGCCAGTAGAGGAGCTTGGCCGCCTGAGGCCCCGCCAAGGGGTGTCTCAGGCCGGCGCAGCTCAGCTGAGTCCTGGGAGGGGCTTCAGAGCAGCCTGGGGTTGGGCTGCTGCGGTTGGCAGCAGGGGGCCAGCCCTCCCTCCCCCTGGCAGGGCTCTGGATGGTCCCTGGAGGCCGCTCCCTGACACCGCCCTGGCCCCAGCCCCTGGGCAGCGAGCGTTTCAGCCCTCGTCGCAGACACCCACATACACATGCCCTGTGTCGCCCCCCATTTCCCCCAGCCCTAACCCTGACACCCCGTGACCTCCTCGTCTCTCCCTCCGATCGCATGGGCAGGGCCCAGGAGATGTGGAGAACCCTGCCTGGGGACCCATGCCCTCATCCCAGCCAGCTCTGCAGTGGGTCACCTCGGCCCCTGGTCAGGCCTCAGCTGTCATGTGTGTTTGGGGCTCACTGTGGGCAACCGGAGGGCCACACGGCATCCAAGGGCGAAGTTGGCGTCTATCACTCCCTTCCCACAAGCGGTAGAACCCCTAGTCTGGCATCTCCTGGCACCCTCCTGATGTCGGGGTGCTCCGATGGCTGCTATTTCTGGGTCAGGCGAGCGTCGGAAAGATTCTGCCGGCTCCCCCATCCTCCGCCTCCTGCTCAAGGCATGACCCTCTCCTCCGATCCCTTCCAAGTGAGAGGGGTAGGGGGACACGGTGGGCCTGGATGGATCTGAGGGCTGGCAGCTCTGGCCCCGGGGCAGGGAGCCTCCCACTGGCCATCCCCGCGGCCTCCAGGGGCCAGCCCGGCAAGCAGGCAGGGAGGCATTCTCTGGCTGGGGCGCCTCGGAAGACAGAGGCCTCTGGAGACTTCCAGGCAGCCTTTTATGGAGCTAAAAGTGGTTCAGAGAAACAGCAGAGTTTCCTGGAGATAATGCAAGGAACGGTTCTTGCACACCCTCCCGCCCCCAGGATGGCGGGGGCGGTCGGGAGCTCCCCCTCCCCCAGAACCCCAGAGAAGCGGGGTGTGTAGCGGCGTGCAGTGCCTGGCAGTGCGGGGAGCAGGCCTGGCACAGAGGCCGTAAATGGGCTTCGGCGCTGACTTCCCAGCTGCCACGGGTCGGTGTGCCTGAGTGCCGGGCGGGCCTCTGTCTGAGACTGGGCCCGGCAAGCACCCCCCGTCTGCAGGCTGCAGCCTGCGCCCAAAGGCCTGGGCCTCCCTGGAGGGAAGGTGGGGGGATGGCTGGCAGGGCCCCACAGGGAACAGGAGGAGGAGAGGGTCACCCGCACCCCCAGGGCCCTCCGAATCCTCGCCTGCACGGTTCAAATATACCTAAGACTCAGCGTACCCTTGGTCACAAGGGGGCCTCTCACTTTTGAGTGACGTGATGGCAGCTCAGAAACAGGTTGGCAGAGACGGTAGTGAGGTGGAGGTATGAGCAAAAACCCCGGAAGATATTTTTGTCCTCCACAGAGCAAGGGTCCCGCTTGATGGTGCCGGGGTGGGGGGTGTTCAAACTGGGTCTCCCACGCAAGTGCACACATCCCCCATATACCAGGGTTGGGTTTTGCTCTTCTGTGAATGTGTATGTACATCCGTGTACACGGGAGCTTTTCGGGGTGCTGCAGTGGGTTAAGTAAGCAAATGACCAGGGCTGGTGGGAAGCTGACCAATCATCAAAGCTAGTGAGTAGGTCTTAGCGAGGGTCAGCGATGGCCCCGGTGTTTCCTCCAGCCGCGGCCCCAGGCTCTCAGCACTAGGCAGAGTGGAAGCAAGTGTTGGAGCTTTGGGGATGCAGTGGGGTTTCTCCTCATCTACACGTGTAAGCCTGCACCGCGCACACGCACATACACGCGCACACAGTCATCTACACGTGTAAGCCTGCACCGCGCACACGCACATACACGCGCACACACATCTACACGTGTGAGCCCTGCACACACGTGCACGCGCACACACCCTTCTTGGGGAGGCGGGCTTCGGAAGCGAGCCTGCCACCACTACACCATCCCTCTCAGTCCCAAGGTCCAGCCAAACTGTTGTTGGGACGGCAGCAGTTTCTGTCGGCAACCCTGATGTGTCTCAACGAAAAGCTTGTCATTCGTGGCTCCCGGCTCATAGACTGGGTGGCACTGCTCTTTCATTTAAAGAGGGAAAGAGGTGGCTGCCTCTTGAGGGATTTCTCTTTCACGGCGCCTGGCAGTGGGCTCTCTCACCCCTCCAGGGTGGCTGCCCTTCCCCTCGGCCCCCTGCCTGGCCACGCTCCTTCGGCCAGGCCTGCGGTCTGCTCCCCGGACGTAGCCTCCGCTGTGCTACTGGGGACGCAGCCCCGGGCCCACGAGGCCCCTCCCGCTCCGCTCCCCCAGCCTGGTCCTGGCCCTCCATGCGCTGAAGAGGGGACTGACGAAAGGGCTGACAAAGGTGCCACATCAGTGCCCCCCCGCCATCGAGATGCAGAAATCAGCGACCTCCCCGACCAAGAATTCCTCACTGGGTACCACAGAATGGCAGCCCACAGGCCCCATGTGGCCACTTACACGTCCTTCCCGCTTCCCCACCTTTTCATGACAAGTGCGGGAGGTGCTGGGGCTCAGCCCAGGAACAAAGGCAGGAGTCCCCCCCCCCATCTGAGCTGTGCCTCAGGGCAGAGGGGAGGGCGTGCTGGTGACTGGCAGGTGATCGCTGGTCCCAGGAGGAAGATACAGTGGGGGTAAGCATCCCATGCCACGACGGGGAGTGCCGTCCCGTGCGCACTCCTGGAGGGCCGCCCTGGGGGACAGCGAGACCCGTGTGCCCCTCCCAGAGTGCAGACCTGACGGGCTGCCCCCGGTCCCTGCGGCCCGGCAGCACGTCTTGTCCCTTGTAGTCTGTCACCTTTTTAAATTTTTGTGACTAAGCAACACGCTGCCAAGGCTCAAGTACAGCAATGTCCCTCGTCCCTTCCCCAGAGGCCTTTGCGGTTTGTTGCTGCCAATGGCGGTTTCCTCAGTTTGCCTTTTTTGTTTTCAAGTGAACGTCACAAGCTCGAGTCAGGTGAATCCCAGGCCTGGCTTCTGCTGTCCGGGGCCGGGTGGTGCCGGGAGCCGCAGCACCTCCTCAGCGGCCCTCAGAACCCACAGCCCAGGCCAGCCGTCGGCGGGGACGCGCCCTGATGTGGGGCTGGTGCTTGGGATTGCCGGGACCGCAGGTCCTGTGGAGGGTCCCCAGCTCACGGCCCCCTTGCCTCTCTCCCTCTCTGCCACAGACGTGAAGTTCATCTCCAACCCGCCCTCCATGGTGGCAGCTGGGAGTGTGGTGGCCGCCGTGCAAGGCCTGCACCTGGGGAGTTCCAGCAGCTTCCTGTCCTACCACCGCCTCACTCGGTTCCTTTCCAAAGTGATTAAGTGTGACGCGGTAAGTGATTGAGCGCACCGCCCCCGTGCTGGCTTGGCTTCTATCCTTCTCTTCTGCTAGAAACCTCTAGTGCCTGGGGGCCCAAAGCTGCAAATTCACTGATGGGAAATGCCGTGGCTCGTGCCAAGGCCCCCAGAGATGATGGGGGCGACCATGTGGGGGAGGGGCCAGGTGCCGTGTTCAGAGGCATGGGACCAGGGCCCAGGCTCATGGGGTGCGAGCCTCACCCCACTCTCCCGGGGCTCCTTTGGAAGGAGAAGCATCTCCCAGAACTTGTGGGTGGGCCAGGAGGGTCCTCGGGCTTCTGGCGCCCCCGGGGCTCCCAGGAGCAGGCGGGAGCCATACGGCCCTCCCGGGGAGCCGTCCAGGAAGAGGGGCCACAAGGCAGGCCCGTCAATGATCCGTGCCCTAATGGCATGTGGAGTTGGGGCCCAGTTGGGCTTTGTCTGGGCCACAATGCGGATGGCTCGTAAATGGGGGCTTGAAAAGGCTTCTGTGAGGTCTGCAGACACAACAATGGCCCGTGGAGACAACCTCATGTTTTACGGCCCCTTTGAGAGGCTGCGGCCTTCGGGGCCCCGAGCCGGGGCCGGTTGTGTCTTCCTTCTTCCAAACGCCATTGTGGGATTCCCGATTCCTTTCTTGTCTTAGAGGAAGAATGGAAATCACAGTTCTGGGGGTTTGTGGCCTTTGCCGGGTTAGACCAGCGAGGTGGGCGGGTCAGCCCTCAGCCTCCGCTGGCGTGCCGAGTGGGAGCGAGTGACCGCCCTGACCCCGGTCCAGCTCGGGCTCGGGCTGCCTTCTGGTGGTCCGCCCTCGAGGGCCCCGGAGGCCCTGTAGGCCCTAGCAGCTGCTGCCTCACGGCGCCGTGGGCGGAAGGAAAGCCGGGCTGTGGGCAGAAGCCTGCCCGCCCCCTCCCCGTCCCCTGCCCAGCGCTGCCGGCTGCCCGGAGCGGACCACGTTCTTGCTTCTCCCCCTGCTGGGAGCAGGCTGTCCCTGGAGCGGGGGGCTCCCCTCTCAGTCTCTGTGCTTACTGGGCCTCCCGGAGCGGTGGGGTGTCCTGGCCGGCGTCACCCTGTGGCTCACCCTCGGCAAGGGAGACACACCACAGTCTGGGCACAGAGCTGCAGATGGGAACCAGGGTCGCAGCTGAGGGGCGGGGAAATCAGCTGAGAGACTGAGACCCGCTAGTCCGGCTTCCCGGCGACCAACGCAGCGGGGCCCAGACACAGAACAGCCTGGGCCCCGGAGCCCCACGTGTCCTCGGGCCGCAGGCTGCGTCCGCCCTGCCCCAGAGCCGTCGCGGTCGCGGTCGTTGTCGCGGCTCTTCCCGGGCTAAGGCTGCAGGTCTCAGTGGCCATGAGGAAGAAGTTAGGGCCATGCGGCCGTGGGGAGCCCCTTCCTACACCCCTCCGCCACACAGCCCCCCATCCCGAGTGCCCAGGGGCAGGAACACCAACGCCCCCCAAGAGCTGCCTGCCGAGAGCCACTGCAGGTGGGCAGGTGGGCGGGCGCCGCCGGGCCTCGGGGGTGGGACTGGGGGGCTGAGCTGGGGGTTGGGGAAGCTCTCAGGAGTCCTTCGTTCCACACCAGGCCTTCTGGGCCTCAGTTTCCTCATCTGTAAAACTGGCTAAGGGAAGGGGTTGGGTAGGAAGGCCCTCCATGTGAAAACGTAGAGCTCTGCAAACATGGCCGAGCCCCAGGGACTCGCTCGGAAGCCTTGCTGGCCTGGATACACTCCTTTTAGGCAGTGAACACCCGTTTCCAGCCCCACGTGGTTGGGAGCTCAGCGGCACCTTCCCCAGGTGCGCCCATGGTTCCCTGTTCCTATGGGAAAGGCGCAGGTCTGTTTTCCAAGCTGGCCTGGAGACTCTACCTCGTTCTAGAATAGAAGCCCAGTGTGGCATCCCAGGAGTTAGGACGGGCCACCTGACACCGGCACCTCCGAGCTGCCGGGAGCTTTGCTCCCGTGAGACCAGGGGAGGCCCCTGGACTCCCAAGATTCATCTTGGGCATTGAGACCTCGGGGAGGGCGCCAGGCGAGGCCAGTGCGTTCTCCCAGGGTGCAGGCCAATCGGGCGAGGACGGAGGGGGACAAAGGGTCCGCCCCCCCCCCCCAGGCCACCCAGCGTTCATTCTCAGTCATGCACAGCCTAACCCTTTTGACGGCCATTCATCACGGAAGGCTGGGTTCACCGCGAGGGCTGACATGGCAGAGGTTAAGTCCGAAAAGCAGGGCTCAGGGGGCCTCCCTGGCCTGGATCAAATGGCACCGAATCCGCTGAGGGCAGCGGCGGGGCCGGTGGGAACAGCGAGCCGGGATCAGAAGCTGGCAGAGGAATTCTAGCGGGGGCTCGGGCCCCGGGGGCCTCAGGGCAAGTTAGGGAGACACCGGGCGAGAGCCCAAGGGTGTCCTGGTGCCCGGAAGATGGCCTGCGTGGGGCCTTTGGTCCTAAGTAGGTGTGTGTGCTTCTCCAGCGGGGGGGGGCAGTAGGTGGCCAAGCGGGGAGCCCGTGCTGGTTGGTCCTGGGGTTTGGGCAGTGGCTCCACATTGTCCTTCACCCGATTTGGGGGAAGCAGTGCTTTAGATGAGCCTCGCTTTCCCTAAAATGGACGAAGTGCTGGTGTTTGGGGGAGGGCCCAGCCGGCAGGCTCCATCTGAGGACCCCTGTCTCCCCTCCGGCCAGGACTGTCTCCGGGCGTGCCAGGAGCAGATTGAAGCCCTGCTGGAGTCCAGCTTGCGCCAGGCCCAGCAGCAGAGCCTGGACCCCAAGGCGGCGGCGGAGGAGGAGGAGGAGGAGGAGGCCGACCTGGCATGCACGCCCACCGATGTGCGAGATGTGAACATTTGAGGGCGCGCGCGTGCGCGGGAGGGGCCGGCCCCAGGTGCTCCCCTGACAGGACCGTGTTCCTTGCCAGGACCGGTCACCACCAGAAGGGAAAGCTTTCCTTCTCCTTTACTGTCGGTTTGTTTCCTTTGCTCTTTCCTCCCTTCCGTCTCTGACTTAAGCAAAAGAAGAAAAACTGTCCTTAAAAAAAAAAAAAAACAAACAAAAAGAGAAGAAAAAAGAAATAGTATTTGCATAACCCTGAGCTGGGGGGTGGGGGGAGGTTTGCTACAAAAATAGAGGATCTTATACCCCATAATCAACTAGATTTTATATGGATGTGTTTGTGTCTCTGTGTTGTTAAGGATAGGCATTAACACAAGGAACGAGTCTGCAGGGGAGGATTAGATTTGATTACGTGTTTAAAACAAAATGGAAAAAAAAAAAAGCATAAAAACATTTTAAAAAGTAGAAAAAAGCCAACCAACCATTTTTGGAGTAGAAGAGGATTTTTAGGTAGCAAACGCGCTCGTGTGCCGTCCCCGAGGAGCACGGCTTTAAGGTGGTCCTAGGTACCCTGCATCTCGCTTGCTCGTGCATGTAGTCACTTTATCAGTCCTTTGCGCGTGTTTTATTTTATTCTGTAGATAGGTGTGTAACCTCTTCACCTGTCCGTGGCTGATGTAACCTCAGTTAGCGTAGCGTAGAGCTCAGCGTGGTCGCGTGCTGGCCCCTCTTTCCGCCCGCGGCCCGACCCGAGCGGGTGGCCAGGGCCCCGGCTGGTGGCACAGTGGACACGGAAAACCAGCTCCGACTCCCGGCCCGCGCTGCTGGTAAAGAGAACCCGCCATAGCGACGTAATATATTCTATTTTTATAATCTTCCTATTTTTGTAGTTGCCTGTTGATGAGATGCTGGTTTTTCACCCCCACAGACCTGCAGCCTGCTCACATCCAGGTGAAATCCACAGCTCCTTTTTTTTTTTCTTTTTTCCTTCTCAATATTCTAGAACCATTCCATTTCAAAGCACTTTCAATCCAGTGGTTATAGGGAATCTCTCTTGTTTCTGTTGTGTGTGGAGGGCGGGTGGGGGGGCAGTTTCTTAATGGAATGGTTTGGGAATATTCACGTCCTTGTGTGCAGACAGGATGGCGAGGCAAGTGCATGTCACTTAAGGAGTTAGCGGAAGGGGATGTTCTTGAAGGCGAGCTTCCGGTCAAGAAGTGCATTCTTAGATTGCCAGGATGATGCATTCCTTTCTCTGTAGAGCAGTGGAAGTTCGGGAGTCCTTGGTGCCAACTGGTGTTTGAAAGCGTAGGGGGCCTTTAAAGGTTGACCTAGAGAACGCGTAGTTTAAGGGTTAGGAAGGTTTTTAAACACTAAAATATATAATTTATAGTTAAGGCTAAAAAGAATATTTATTGCAGAGGATTGCAGAGGATGTTCGTAAGGCCAGTATGATTTATAAAGTAATGCAATCTCCCCTTGATTTACACCCACCCACACACATACACCCACACCCACACACCCACATACACATACACACCCACCCACCCACACACCCACACCCCCCACACACACACATACACACCCACCCACACCCACACCTACACACACATACACACACACACACACACACACACACCTACACACACACACACACACTTTTTTGCCTTTGATGTTGCAGGTTTCATACAGTTTGTCAAAGTTAGGTCCTTTTTCATAGGAGAGAGGAAAAGATCCTGAGGAACAACACAGAGAGCATGGATTTGGCTGATTCAGCCCGTCTTGGTGGTGTTCCAATGGGAACCCCATCTGAGAGGCCTCGGGGTTCCACAGAAGGTTAGGGTACCCAAAAACAAGTCCAGCCCCAACATATTGTCCCCTTTTGAAAAAATTTTAGCAACCAGTAGACAACTTGCACATCTTGGCTGTGTACCTTTTCGGAATGACTACGTAGGGAGAGTCGAAGGCGGCGAGAGCACAGGGCTGGTGCTTGGCGGGGGACGCAGGGGGGCGTGTGGGCGTGCGGAGGGCCGACGGCGGGACCAAGCGGCGGGCAGGCTGCGGCTCAGTTTCCCGATTCGCTGCTACCGATGACTTCCCGGCACAGTTTGGAAACCGATTCACATTGCTTTTCTGTATCTCTTTCACATTGTTTTGCTGCTATTGGAAGATCAGTTTTTTTGTTTTTGTTTTACAATGTCATATACTGCCATGTTCTAGTTTTAATTTTCTCATAGAAAAATGTATTAAGGATGCCTTTTTTTTGTAGATTTTTTTTTTATGTGATCAGTTTTGACTTAATGTGATTTACTGCTCTATTCCAAAAAGGTTCCTGTTTCACGATACCTCATGCTTCTCTTAGCCATGTGTAGACCAGGCGGTCAGGCTCCTTCTGACCCGCGGCCTCCTGCTCCCCAGGACACGCGGACCGGGATCGCGAAACGGGCCTGGTGGGGTGGGCTCCGGGCCGCGAGCGAGCACGCAGCCTGGCGCCCCTGGGGCCGCGACCGCTTCCTTCTCCCTGCGCCTGTAACCCTGGGCTGTCCACCCGACTGGGGCGTGCCACCGTCCTAGTTTCTACAGCTGTATTGTTCTTTACGTGTAGCTATGAAAGTTGCATTATTATATTATTATTATGGTAACAAGTGTGTCGTCACGTGCCACCACGGTGCTGTGCTGCAGGACTCGGTCACTCGGGATGAGCGGAATCACTTCTGGACTTGGTGAAAGTTCCGGGTGCTGCATCTGTCGTTATGTACTAGTGTTCTGTTGGTTCTCCTCATTGCAGCATAATGCTAATTTAAAAAAGACTCCAGATCTCAGTGAAGCCAGCTAACAGTGCTGTGTGCCCGAGTTGCCCAGCACGCTGCCGAACCAAAAGGATTTGCACCACGGGCGGCCCCTGCCCCCAGCTGGGTCAGCCTGGGTGCTCCCTGGCCATTGGCAGGCCCTGGCCCCGCCCCGCCCCGCCCCTGCAGGAACACTGCTTCTGCTTACCTCATCCGTTCTGGCTGCGGCATCTCTGTCTGAACCAAACGGGGTCCTTGAGGGACGGTCTGTCCTCGTGGGGGGGTGGGGGGGGTGAACATTGTGTGTGCTCAAAGGCCAAAGGCCGGTGGCAGGTCTGGGGAGCACAGCGGAGTCTGTCCTGTGACCAGCAAGTCTGCGAGGGTCTCTGGTGGGTGGGCGCTTTTGGTCTGTGTGTGTTTTGGTTGCACACTGTGGCACAGACATGTAACCGGCACGTTTCCAGCAGAAAACAAAAGACAAACGTGAAAAGTCTAGAAATAAAATTGGTAAAACCCCAGTACGGTGCCTGCCTGCTTCCTGGGGCGCGGGGCAGAGGAACAGGGCCCGAGCTGCTGGGTCCTGGGCCGGGGGGGTGGCAGGCAGCCGGGGGTGCCCGCTTTGGCACTGCCGATGTTTGGGGCCAGATCCTCCTCTGTCACGGGGAGCTGTCCTGTGCGCTGTGAGGCATTGAGCCACACCCCTGGCCTCCACCCACCAGATGACAGGACTGTCTCTGGTTGTTTCACTGTCAACTGAAAATGACTCCTGACTTTGCCAGAGGTCCCCTGGGATACAGAGGGAGTATGTGATGCTCTTGGCTTCGAGGAAATGGGGGGAAGGGCTGGGAAGAGGTCAGGACGCCTTGCAGAGGCGGCTCCCACCACCTCAGTGGCAAGATCAGGATGGGCTCCCAGCCCACGTCTCCCCAGCAGCCCCCCCGCCCCCCGGCTATTTGCAGATAAGAAAATAAACAAGCCAGCTTTCCCTAACCCTCTGGCGCAAACTTGCTGTTTGCTCTTGGTGAATCACGGTCCCGGTCCCCGAGGCACCCCCAGCCTGGGGAGGACAGCAGAGCGCATGTTTGGGCTTCAGTCCGGTGGCCTTTCACACGGACCCAGTGACCTGGGAGACCTAGTGGACACCTGTGACGTCCGCCTCGGCTTCAGATGCACGTGGCCGGCCTCGTTTCCAGCCCAAGGTGGGGAGTGGACAGGGAAGGCAGCAGCAGGCCTCAGGGCCGGCTCCATGGGGCCTGGGCCTCTTCCCAGAGTCTGGGGTCCCCAGTGTGTCTTCACCCCCCCACCCCGGGCTGTCGGGTGGTGAGTGCTCAGAAGGGAAGCCAGGTCACATGCCAAGGATATCACTCCTTGTCAGGTCAATTTGCTGGGGCCTTTATGAAGCTCCTGCTGTATACAGCCCTGCTCCACAGGGTGCCCCTCCTCCCAGCGGGAAACCTCCGGATGGGCTACGCACTGGAGTGCCTGGGAGCAGGGTGGATGCACTCGGACTGGGATTGCTGCTTTCCCCACAGCAGCCCCACACTGGGCAGGTACGCCGAAAGGGCCTCTGGCACAGCAGACCAAGGGGCGGTCAGAGCCGGGGGAGGCCCCCAGCCCCAGGGGCAGGCCAGGGGTATCCTGAGGAGCGGTTTCAGGGGAGCAGAGGTAACAATCTCACTGCATCAGGTTCAAGCAGAAATCGGGGCGGGCAAGTGGGGGAGCCAGGCCTGCAGAACTGGTCTGCGGGTTCAGTGGGAAGGCAGAGAGGCATGGGGGGTGGGCAGAGAGCCGGAGCCCCCGTGCAGTGCAGAGGGCAGTGGGGAGTGGGGAGGAGAGCTCTGGAGTCCCCCATACCCTGCCTCGGGTCTTTCTGGAAGATCCCAGGAAAGGACTCTGTAGGCCTGACCTGGCGAAGCACCCACCCTGTCCCATGGTGGGAGGTCTGGCTGCCCCAAGCATCTGTGAGAGAAAATAAACAGCCTTTGAGGGACTTCTGGGAGGAAGTCACCCCCTGCTGCCCCTCTCTCAAGCCCGAAAGCCTGTCCTCGCTGGGCCCCACTGCCTCACCTGGGGCCTGCCCTACCTCCCAACCACCTGTGCCCAAACGCTCAGGGGCTTCTCGCTCCTTCCAGCTCCATCCATGGTCCTGAGACCTGAGCCAGCTCTCCCCTTCACCCCCGTCCACCCCCCACCTCTCCCCTCACCTCACTTCTCCCTTTCACCCCCGTCTCTCCCCCCTCGCTCATGTTCCCCCCAGCCTCGGGCTCTCCAGCCCCGAGTCTGCACCCATGGGACTACAGGCACACCAAACTACTTCCTGCCTCCAGTTCTGTGCCTGAAGTGCCCCCCCCTCCCCTCGGGGGGCACCCTGCAGGCGTTCCTACCCCTGGCCCTGGCAGGTGGCTCTGGGAGGTCCAGGAATCATGACAGCTGGGTGTTCCCCACTCTGGGCTATGAACCCTGGAGGACAGGTGCCTTGCTGTTCCTTCTCTGTGGCCCTACTCCCAGCCTGGCAAATGGTAGGTGCTCAGAAGCGGGAACGGGACCAGAATGGAAAGGGCAGCATGGCCCACCTGGCCCACCGGCCAGGCCCAGCTTGCTTTGTGAGCTGTAGAGCGGCAGCCCTGCCTGACCCCGGGTGCGGTGGGCAGATCCCCGTGTCATGAGGACACGGCGCCGAGCTGGAAGGTGAGTCAGATCTGCAGAGGTGGGCACTGCCGGGCTCCTAGGGGCCACGGCCACAGCCACCATGTCAGGTTCCCAGAACTCATCCGAGCCTGTGGCCCCCGGAGCCTCCTGGAAGCCTCGCTGCCTGCACGCCTTGGCTCTGCGTTTGGTGGGGGAGAGTCACACCACAGACCACTCCCAACGGCGGGCACCGCAGCATGGGCTCGCGAGGGACACATGTGCCTGGCGGACTGACGGTGTGGGGCGTGCGCCCCGCGCGCCGGACAGGCCTCTGCAGCGCACAGGGCTCTGTCATCCCAGGAATGCCTTTGATCAGGAGTTTATGCAGAGGGGGCCGCAGCCCAGGGCTTCTAATCCGTTCCCACAGCCCCCTGGCCCGCTGGCCCCCAGCCCTGAGCCACACTGAGGCCCGGGGCAGACAATAGCCAGCGGACGGTGGGCGGGCAGCTCCGGCCTGGGCCTTGGGGCCCACATCCGGGGCATTGTCACGGCCACTCACAGGGGCATGCAAGGAGGGTGGGGGAGAGGAATGCAGAGCCCTCCTGAGGGCGCTTCAGGCAGCCCTGAGCCTCTCAGGGAGGCTGGGACCACCCACCCTTCCCCCTTTCGGTACGGGCGGTGGGGGCGGGCAGCTGTCCCCGCATGGCCTCCCTCTGAGCGGGGCGTCCCAGTCCCCAACCCCTGGAGCTCTGGCCTTCGTCCAGCTCAGGAGAGTCACAGCCCCTGCTCACCGAGCACAAACAGGGGACCAGGCATTGTGCTCAGGGCTCAACACACAGTCTCCCCCTAAATCCTGAAACCACCTGGTGAGTGGGCCCTGTGTTGTCAGGGCTGCAATCTCTGCCTTCTAGGCCAAGGGCGGGCAGATTCTACAGAAAAGGGTCAGAGCGAGGGGCCGAGGATCTGCTGGCCACAGGCTCTCATCCTGCTCAACTGCGCCCTGGGGCAAAAGCAGCCCCGGACGACGGCAAACGAATGAGCACAGCCGCGAGCCGGTCGGGCCTTGTGTGCCCAAATGGGCAGTGGGCCGCACAGGGGCTGAGGGTGGCGGTTTCAGCCTCCTGTGGTAGTTGCGGAAACCAGAGCCCAGACAGGGGACAGTAACTGGGCCAGGATCACACAGCCAGGAAACTGCCAGGGCCGGGCCCAGGGCCAGATTTGTGTCTAGAGCCTGTCCTCCTATCTGTCGGCGTGGCTGCTTGTCCTTCTGCCCCTCACCGCCCCCCCCACCACCACCACCCCGGCTCGTGCTCTGTCTTGTTTTTCAAATAAATAAATAAAATCTTTAAAAAACGTTATTTTAATTCAATAAATAAATAAGTAAAACGCACGAAGCCTCCACGCGGCTCTTTTCACCCACAGGCCAGTGCATGCACTTGGGGCCCAGCTTTGCCAGGAAGCCCAGCGGGGCGAGGTCAGGTCCACCAATGTCCCAGGCTTCAAGTCAGCAGTCCCCGAAGTCAGGCCGGTGTCTTGGCCGGTGGGCCTGGAGAAGGACAGCCAGGCCCGCTGGCAGCGGGGGTGTGAGGTGACCGCCACGTAGAAAGAAAGCTCACACACATACGTGCATGCAGTACACATACGTGTTTTGGTGGAAAAGACCCAGGGGTTGGATCTCGGCCCCGCCACCTTCCGGCTGTGTGTCTTTACCTCTCTGCACCTTGATTTTCTCATCTGAAAAATGGGGGTAATTGTGTCTACAAGAAGGGAGCCTCGGAGGAGGGCAGGGCACTGTCTGCATCTCGCTTGGACTCTCTGACCTGACCCAGCCCAGAACAGGGGCTCAGTAACCTCAGTTCAGTGCGCGCTTTCAGGGGTGAGGGCTACACAGCCCGAGTGTGTGCGTTACTTAGCACGGCGCCCTACAGTCACCACTCAATAAAGGCCAGCATCACCCCATGCGTCATCCAGGTGTGGAAAGAGAGGCCCCCAAACCAGCGGCTCTCCGGGTGGCAGGGCCAAGGCCATACTTCCTTCCCTCTTTGGGCTCACGAAGCAGAGAGTTCTTGTTCTTCGGGCCAGCCCCAATCCCCTGCCTGGTGCTGACCATTCTGCTCTGTGGCTTGGGTGGGAATGACCCCATCCCCAGCTCCAGGACAGGCGCTGACGGGCTCAAACCCAACAGCACATCCGCCCCCCAGGGGTGGGAAGGTTGAAGGGTGGCAGGCTCAAGGGTGAATGTGAAATCTAACAGAGCCAACGAGACAGGGAGAGACATTTTCTGAGGCTTCTGAAAAAGACAGCCTTCCCCTCTCCCCCTCAAGACTCCAGGGACCAGTGTGGCTCTTCCACCACCCTGACGGGGCTGCTGTAGGCCACGGGGTGGACTCTGAGCTTGAGGCCAGTCCTGCAGCAGAGCAGAAAGAAGGTACCAGCTCTCTGGACAAACTGCTGGATCAAGCCTCTCCTGAAGGGAGATCCCCCCTTTTGTTCCAGGAGACAACTGTTGTCCTTCTGTTTAAGTCCATTGATAGGGGCTTCCTGTCGTTTGGTGCTCAAAGATTCTTAACTGTAACAATGTGTATGTGTTTTCTACCTTCTCCAGATTTAACAGTATAATCCCAATATAAACGATGGGGCTGAGTTCTGGAGGCTGGAAGTCTGAAATCAAGGTGTGGGCAGGGCCACGCTCTCCCAGCCTCCAGTGGCTGCTGGTTAGCACCCCTTCTGGCTTGTAGCTGCATCACTCCCATCTCAGCCCTGCCTGCGCTTCCGCCTTCGCACGGCATCCCCTCCCTGTATGCGTCTCCTCTCCTTACGAGAACAGTCACGCTCCCCCACGCAAATACGACCCATCTTAACTTATGCCTAAATCACATCGGCAAAGACCCTACTTCTGAATGAGGTCGCATTCAGGGGCTAGGTGTGCAATATGGCTTTTTTGGGGGGAGGGGGGAACAATTCAACCTGAAACAGGTGAATTTGAGCTCTCAAGCTGGGGGGGGGTTCAGTGAGCACCCCGCCATCCCAGGGGCACTCCCCCACAGGGAACAGCAGGTGCTCAGTAAATCCTTGTATAAAAGATGGAACCAACCCATCAATAAGGCTTCAGTGAGCGAGCATGTCCACGGTGCTTGCGCTCCCCAGCACATCACTCTTGAGCAGCGGAAATGAGGTCATGCTTGGGTACCACCCAAGACAGAACCTCTAGCCCTGCCACCCAAGGCCCAGCTGATCTAGCAGGGCCCTAGAGAGACGAGGCCAAAGCGCTGTCTCCGCAGGGCCCCCGAGGGACAGACCAGCAAGGACCTTGATGCCAAGGAAGGAAGATTTTAATCAGAAAGGAGTTAGAAGTCCCCGAAGAGTTAGGAGTGACTTTCCTTCTCGGACAAGGAATCTGCAAAGCCCCAGCTGGGCCACTAAGTCACATGGACTTGGACAAGCCATCCAGCCTTCCGTGGCAGGGCCCTCAACTATAGGACTCCAATCCTGTAGGAATTGGACACTGTGCCCACTTGTCTCTGGTCAACCATCCCCGCTTGGTGACTTCAGTTTCCTGAGTCAAAGACCAGCTCCCCACTTCATTCATTCAGGACTGGAATTACTGTAGGAATTAGGAGGACCTCACAGGGTAATTACAGTTTTCGATCTCTCCAAATTACACTGCTGTTCTCAGATAGGATGGGAAATGGTCTGTGGGGTTGAGGTCACATGAGAGCTCACAAAGCAGCAGGGTGAAGGGTACCTCCTCTAGGAAGCCCTCCCTGCCCACCTTCCCCTTCCCTCATTCTGAACACACCACTTACAGGCTCCCCAAGTGCCTCCAAATCCTTTTCTCACCCTGGGTGGAGAAAAAGCATGATGAATATGAAATAAAAAGTAAACCATGGCCCTCTCCTAGGACACTTTGGCCTGTACACAGACTGCCCTTGGTCCCGATGACTCACATTCCAGAATTCGATGAAGCAGCTCCACGTGAAATGTTTTCTCCTCTCCTAAGTCCTAGGTCAACATTCTTTCCCAGCAGCTGCTCAGGGTGGCTGCTACGGGCTGTGTCCCCAAAATTCCAATGTTGAAATCCTGACCCCCAGCACCTCATAACATCACCATATCTGGAGATGGGGGTCTTTAAAGAGGTAATCAAGGTAACATGAGGTCACCGGGGTGTGCCCTGATCCAGTGTTGACTGAGGTCCTTACAGGACACACACACGGTGGGATAACCCCGTGAGGACACAGGGAGAGCATGGCCGTCCACACACAAGGAGAGAGGCCTCAGGAGGACCCTGCCCTGACCGCGCCTGGACCTCGGGCTTTGGCCTCCAGCACCAGGAGATGGTACTTGTCTGTTGAGTGAGCCTCATCTGTGGTGTCTGTTATGGTGGCCTGAGTGGACCAACAGTGGCACAGAATATGCTGGGAGTTTCCAACAAGGAGAGAGCAGGCCAAAGCTTTGGGAAACCAATGTTTTTGTTCCATCATAAAGGAACAAAACCCACTCCAGAGAGCTCCAAGGAAGCTCTCCCCTGGAACGGGAGGCCGAGACTGTGGGGGACAGAGAGGGAGTCTGGGCAGGAGGGATCAGTTACAACCGCTGACAGGTGGCTGAGCCAGGGTCCTTGAGGAGGAATGAACCCCTCCTCTAACGTTCATCACGGGGCACCATTCTCTCGCAGGAACCGTGTCTACAACACGTTTTAATGAGACGGGTGGACAGAAACGCAACAGGAAGCAGCGGTCTGCCCACCCAATGCGCGCCTGCCCTCGGACCTGGATCCCAGATACCTTGGAGTAAGGAATGAATTTGCTGGATATCACGTTATAAACGCTCCCACAGACAGCCTGTTGCTTTAAAACTGGCTATTTATTTTTCTCTCCACTTGTAAAATAACATATTACCACAATAGAGAACTTAGAAAACAACAATCCGCCAAGGAAAACCACCACAGTCGCCCCCTCCTCACCCCCTGACCCGTCCCACCAGCAAGGGAGGCCCGCTGCTGGCCTTGGTGGCCGTGGGCTCAGGCCGCGGGCAGGCGCTCTCTGCGGCCGTGAGCACGCCAGCTCCCAGGAGCTCCGGCGGCCGAGGCCAGGGCCGCGCTCAGGGACGCACACGCCAGCGGCGGCGTGCCCGGTCTCTCCCTCAGCACACTGGCCAGGGGAAGCGGACGAGAGGGAAGCAAACACCCACACCCGCTCCTGCGGGGCCCCCAGCCCTGAGTCTCCCGGTGGGGCCTCAGGACCACTGGCTTGGGCAGCACAGCAACAGCCACTCAGACGACCCAGGATGATGTTACAAACTGGAACAGATTCCCGGTTACCCCTTTATTCATCTCACGCGTGACTTTCAGACACACTGCCTCAGACGGGAGCAGGCGGGACCTGCCAGTGATGCTGGGGGCGCCCCCCTGGAGGGTGCACACAGGGACAGGCAGAGAGAGATGCTCAAGAACCACTGATGGAACCTCCTACACCCCCCAGTACCTCCCCGTGGATACAGATGCCTGCGAAGTACGGGCAGAAGACAAGAGAAGTCGTGTTACAGGAGATGCACAGTGTCCTCAACACAAGGCTCCCAAACTCTGCAGAGATAGCAGCAGCCCAACATTTTGTCTTTAGCCTGAAGTATTTCCCGCCTTAACCATTTTAATGCTGCAAAGCCTCACCCCCATCTGGAAACACTGCAAAGTATATGTCCAGGCTCCCTCTGAAGCCCCTCTCAGCCAGGTGCCGTGTCACCTGGCCACAGTGACTCCCCGTGGCTCCACGGAGCACAGTGGGGACCCGTGCACCCTGGGCCTGAGAGCAGTGACCCACTCCATGGCTGTGACCGCACGTTCCAGGACAGGCAGCACAAGATGGTGGTGACAGGCGGGCGCAGGATTGGAGTCCGAGCTCTGCTGCTGATGCCCTTGGACTGGGCAGTCCCTGCGGGCCTCGGTTTCCTCATCTGTAAAGTGGGAACACTGAAGGGATTACACAGACCAGGGAAGCCCAGCGCCCAGCACCTGCACATCCTCGGGGCCAGTGAATGTCAGTCCTGGCACACCGCCCCCCAACTCACGTCACATCAACCCTGGTGCTCTCAGTTCCTAAAAAACTGCTCTTCTGAGCGCCAAGTCCAGGCTCGGGGGGTAATCCTAGCCAGAGCCACCCCCGGTCTAGAACCGGCCAGGCCTGCCCAGCTGGAGGGGACCACAGGCCAACAACCCTGGACCGGGAGCGAGCAGCCCCACGAGGGCTCTGGCAGGGACTCACTCAGACTGCAGAGCAGACAGGGCCCAACAAAGGCTGAGCCTGTGTGGAGGGGCCACAGGGGGCACCCAGGCGACACAGGCAGCCCCCAGGGAGAAGGAAGCCCTTTCACCGGCCAAACTGGAACCCTCCCCACAGAACAATGAATACTCCATCATTGTTTTGCCTTGAATCACATTTTTAAACACTTAACATACGGACATCTGTTCCTTGATGTTTCATCTTTGTTCATCTGTCATCCTCAAAATGAAAGTCCAGAACCTTCCGCACTAATTTTAAAGTCCGGCTGAACATTTAGTAATGAACAAAGCTGAAAACACAGAAGAAAAAAGATGTATTTTTTTTAAATCTTATATATTTCTACTCACAAATTAGAACAAAACTTTCTCTCTACCTGCAGCTTTTCGTGTCTACACAACCCCTAAAGTTCTAACGACTGTTCATTCTCTAGACCAACTTCAGTTTTCTCACACAGAAACACAAAAATGATGTGCTTCTGTGGACCACGCAAAGGGCACGAGCAGCCTCGAGACCACGAGCGATGTGAGCGCGCGGGACTGCGCGCGGCTGGCTCGGAGAAAGGCACTCCTATCAGAGAGGGACATGCAGTGGACAAACCTGTTTAAATTTCCCTCTAATTTTGTCTAAGTCCTCGTGAAGTTTATCGTAAGTAGGGTCATCGTAAGGGAACTTCTCAATCATTCCAATCAACGATTCTAAGGCCTTCATCTTTTTGCTGTAAAGCACAGAAATAAAAACTTTTAGTCCTTTCTCCACAGTGGGCTCTGCTTATGTAACAACGACGCTGACCACTTACTTGAAAGCAATGGGCGTGCTAAGCATGCCTGAGTCCAGAAGCCGGGTGCATAATTTTCTCACTACACTCAGTATTTATTTACCTAGCAACGTGCCCTTGCCCACACCCCGCACTCAACATCAAGTGCGCATCAAGCTTATGGATATACCTGTACCCCAGCCAGGGAGCAAGCAACTGAGGCGACCCGCCACGACCTCGCCTGGGTCACAGACGTGGGAACAGACAAAACCGGGCAAGAAAAGAGCGCTGGGGCACGATCTAGCCTGCTGTAGGCCTGGGATTTTCCGGGACCCAGAAATGTCGCGCTCACAGCCCTGGGGAGTTCAGCAGCAGGTAGACCAGCAAGCCCCTCCCTCCCAAGGGCAGGAATCGGCGTCTGGTATCTGGGTCCCGTTCCCTCTCCCAGGAAGGCAAAGCTCTGCTGGGAGGTGAGGTGGTTCCCAGGCCCTCGGGTATTTAACTTCTCTGTAACACGCACACTTAACAGCCACCTCACGGCTTTCAAGAGAAGTAACCTCCGTAAAGCCCAAAACCTAGCACAGGGTAGGTGTTCAGTAAAAGCATGAAGCCTCCTGGCTTCCATGGGACCCTGGCTACCGGGGCTCACACCTGGGGGTGGGGGAGACCATTCCCAGATGTGCACATCCTGACAAGCACCCTCCCCTAGACCACACTGGGTCATCTGAGAGTCAGAAGGATGCTAGGTATTTGATTAATGGAAATTCAACAGAACTCTTCCCCAGGATGAATCAAAAGCAACCAACATCTCCTAAATACCTGCTCATAATTGCTGTTTTTAGGTACACGAGGAAGTCTGCCGATGGCAAGTCGGTTTATGAGAACAAGATGGCTACCTCTCTAATACAAACTGTAAAAGGTCAAAAGGAAGTAAATTAAAGCAATGAAGCACTCGGTTTCCAGGGCGATGGAAGGCAGATGCCGACATGTGGGAAACGGCTGTATTCCAGCATGATAAGAATACCACCCACTTTTAACTAGGCAAGTAGCAACTTATTCTTCTCTGGTCAGTGAAGCTACTCGAAACACACCCGGCCCGTCACACTGTCAAAGTCGGTGCCTGTCAGGAGGGTGTGCCCGCTCCCGGCTGATCCAACAACACAGCAGAGCTCGAGCTCAGCCCTGGCCAAACGCTGGCCTGCACACGGCTCCACCGGGCTGCTGGGCGGGGGGGCACCTCCGAGTCCATCAAGAAGCCACGGTCGTCTGATATAAAGCACCATCCTTCAGTCTGAGATACTGCCTTCCGTGGTTTCTCTGGCGTTAAAAGCCCCTTATTTTACTGAATGATAACACAGATAGGGGTTTTTCCTTACTTGAAGATAAAGAAGCAGAAGATCCTCTATCAGCCTTCTACCATTATTTAAAAGCTGTACTAACATAAGAATGCAAAAAACCATGACCCACAGCCCTAAGAGACAGGCTTCTAGGTTGAGTTTCAGGGAGACCCTCGAGCTGCGCTGGTGGGGAGGGGGCAGCAGCGAGGTGCGCTGGACAGCTTCTGCCAGCCCCCAGCCGACCGGCGCGGGTCCTCCTCTAGCTGAGACAGAGTGCGCAGCTTTAAGAAATTAGGGGGCCCCTGCTCGGGGGGCCGGGGTGGCAGCCCCTGGGTGTACGACCCTCCGCGCAGGGTATGGCGCTCCTCTAGGAGCCGGCATGTGTCGGAGTCGCGGAGAAGGGGAGGCTGAGGGAGAGCTCCAAGGACGGCCTTGCTTGTCCTCTGGTGGACCGGAGCGCGGAGCGGAGAGCCAAGCTCAGCTTTGACTGCCACCCAGTGGTGCCCCAAGTTGCCAAGCGCCATCCCCCGCTCTCGCAGTCCTCAGAGGACCATCCCCAGCCCGGTGCGCCTCAGCTCCCTTGTACATCTGGTCCACTGCCAGTGAGTCATGCCGCCGGAGCGGCCCAGGGACTCGATCAGGGTAGGGCAGGCCATCTCAGCATCACCCACAGTCAGCTGCGAGCACCCTTGTCCTCACATTCGAATACAGAGGCGCCCAAATTCTAGAAATTCAAAATATTTCAAGTAAGACGAGTCACTCGGACAGGGGACTGCCACCTTCCCTGCTGTCATCCACTCTCCCTGGGCCCCTCCCAGACCAGGCGAAAGCAGCAGACATCAGAATGAGGCAGGGCACCAGCCGAAGCGGACTCTGGGCTCCCAGGAGCAGCCGGACGGCCAGGCCGCCCGTGCCTTTCACCTCAGGGTTCGTTCCCAGGTTAAGAATGAAGCAGATGTGCAACAGGGTCCCGGGGGCTTCAGCGGGTAGCACACGGCGAGAACAGTTTAAAAAGACTACAAATGATCCAAAAAATAGCTAGCATTTACTCAGTGCCTCCAAGAACCAAACACATGTAAAACACACCACCTTATCTCACCTGCACACCTCGTTGGCTGCACTAAAAACCTAGTGACAACAGAGTCACCATTTCCGACCCTAGTCATACCAAGGCTACCGTACTGCGTTTATTAGAAGCTCCGAGGAAAGATGAACAAGAAGAAAGAATCCACTTCAACATTATTTTACTGGCAGGAGATCTAAAATCCACTTGGCGCTTTGATGCTTGCAGGGAAAAGGCAGAGGGCTCCAAGAAGGCTTGACAAGTAATAACGCGTGTTCACCAGACACTGAAAATGAGCTCTGCGCTAGTTACGATTTCCTGTGAATATGTGACAACATTCAAGGACAAGGGTGCTCGCAGCTGACTGTGGGTCTATTTTCTCCATGTGACAGATGAGGAAACTGAGGCACGAACTGCCCCAAGTCAGAGTAAGCTATGGAACCACACTCCTGCTCCACACAATGAAAAAGAAAGAAGTCTTAAACTTTACCTGTCTTTCTCAGTGGTACAACTGTGCAGGAGACATCTCCAAGCAAAAGCAAAGCCTTGATAGCACCCAATCTGTGAATTCACAAAACAGTTCAGCATGAAATTAATAAGCAACAAGCTCCACTGTATCTAATTATCAAGCTCCCCAAACTAAAGGTGGGGAGGAAGGGCAGTGGTGCTTCTCACGCTGTGGTTCTGGAAGCACCTGCTGGACATGAGACCACGGAAGTCAGGTGGCCGAGCCTTCAGTGGGGCAACAGCCTCCCAGAAGGTGCCGCCAGCCCCACCCCTGGGTCTGCATGTCCTGTGTGGTCCCCTCTGACTGCAGCAGGGTGGCCCCGCGCGTGGCTTCTGAATTCAGGCGTAGCAGACAACGTCACTCCTGCCTGGTTGTCTTGCATCACTGGCCCAAGCGTCACGAGGCCACTCCAGCAGCGCTAGGGAGAGGTCCACGCGGCAAGAGCAGCTGTGTGAGTGAGCCATCTCAGAAGTGGCTCTCCCAGCCCCAGGCGAGCCTTCCCATGGCTGCAGGCCGGACTCCAGCACCATGAGGCCCGGAGCCAGAACCACCCAGCCCAGCGTCTGTTGTCGGAGGCCCACACAGTTTGTGGTGTCCTGCTCTGCACCGGCAGACATCTACTGCAGTCCTGACTGCCACAGGCTGTCACTCAGAGCAGGCCCTCCGTGGCGAGGCCGGTCCTCCGTAGCGAGGGCCCAGCGAGGGCAAAGGCCAGAAGAGAAGACGACTATGGATTTCAGATGACTTCAATGGGAAGGGGTGACACAGGGTAAGGACTCAGGTGGCGGAAGCACCATGATACGCTGGCGTAAACTGAGGTGGCCGAGCACCGGCTTTCTCATTCCCCAGGCCGTACCCCTTCATCCTCCTTACGCAGGCGCACCTCAGAGAGATGCGGGTTTGGTTCCGGACCACCGCAACAGTGAACTGCTTGGTTTCCCAGCACGTAGGAAAAGTTATGTTTACACCACACCGTACTCTACCACGGGTGCAACAGCAATATGTCTACAAAATAACGTACATACCTTCAGTAAAAAATACTTTATTGCTAAAAAACACTAACCCTCGTCGGACTCTCAGTGAGTCATAATCACTGATTACTGATCACCGAAGCGAATATAAAAATGAAAAGGTTTGAAATGCAACAATTACCGAAGTGTGACACAGACACAAGCAGTGAGCAAACACTGCTGGAAAAATGGTGCCGACAGGCCTGCCTGGCACGGGGGTGCACAGACCTTCCACGTGTAAAAACCACAGTATCTGTGGAGCACAGACGAGGTGTGCTGGTACGGCAACATGCGCTGGCCTTCTGGATGAAGACTGTTGCTCCATCAACATTCTCTAGTCCACTGCCATTTAAACAGGCCTCAAGTTCTGGCTCTACCATACTGATCATCACAGTAAACTATAAACTATGAGTGAAAAGGATTCATTTCTAAAAATAAGGGGGGGTCCCACTTACCTCAGATCCAATTTTGGCTCCATGTAACGTGCCATACTGCCTTCCTTCAATTATACCCAAACTGTTGCCTTCTTCATAGCCTTCCTGGTATCCTTCCCCGTGAAACCTGTGATGGAAAAGCAAGCTTGATCAAAGAAACGGGAGAAGACAGTGTGTTTCCTGGAAGAAAATTTTTCCAGGAATTTTCTCTCCCATATTACCCAGACTCTGCAAGACAAGACACGGTACAGTAGAAACAGTATCGAATTGAAGGCATAGGCCACGATCCCAGCTCTACCCCTCAGTCTCTGCCAGCAAGTCACCACACCTCACGAAGCCCCATCTGCCTCTGGCCAAATTCGTGAATCCCAAACCTGGTAAGATACCAGAAACATAGAGGAAAGTTTTAAAGACACGAATCCAAGGGCCTCGGCCCCTGATACTACTCAGTGAGTCTAGAGGAAGGCCCAGAAATCTACTTTTTTGAAACCTCCTAGGTGACTCTGGTATGGAGCCAGGTTAGCGAGCCACAGTTCTGGGAGTCTAACCTACACGACTACATCAAGTGCTTCAAAACTCTCTGCCACACTCACAGGGCTTTCCGTCATAACTCAGCACACTACAAGGGAGAAACGCCATCGGATCACCACAAAATATACGAAGGCAGAGGTGCCCAGCATATAGGGACAGCTGGGATTTGAGGGCTCAACAGTGGAAGTGGGACCATCTTAACCTGCAATCACCAAAAACAGAAGATTGCTGGAGTCCCCAGTGAGGCAGTGTATGCTCCCACTTATTGGCTCTGTGACCCTGGGGAGTGATCTTGCCTCCTCATCCGTAAAACACGGTGAATAATAGGATCTAATTCACAAAAAGGGCTAAAATAGTTAACGGGGATACAACCCTGAGCTCACTGTTGGGTTCACACAAAGCTCTAAATAAATGTCGGCGACCGAGGGTTAAATGTTCGCTCTCTTCCAGGACTGATGTCTACTGGTGTCTCAAGTGGGCCGGGCACTGGAAGACGGCCACAAGGCAACTCGCGGGTCCCCACTGTCACGGCCCTGGGCACTCCCCAGGGGCTCCGGAGGGAGAAGGATGACGGCTGACACATTCATCAGCATGTCCATGAATGCTGCCGTATGTCCCACCACTAAGGAACAAGGGAAAGGGGCAGCGCCCAGATGGCAAAGGTCCGTCCCACCCAAGTACCGCGCGTCCCCAGAGGAGGGCAGTCAGCAGGCCGAGCAGATGCTCGGGGCCGCCCGGACCGGGAGGCGGGCCTGGGGCAGCAGCTGGGCACGTGGCGCGCCGCCCAGAAGTAAAGCGGCGGCCCCAGCACCTCGGCCCCACACGCGTCCGCGGCCGTCGCTGCCCCGGGGCGCCCCCCCACGCGCCCCCCCAGCCGCGCCCGCGGCTCACCAGGCCCGCGCTGCCTCCGCACCCGAGGGAAGACGCTGGCCCGGCCCCGCCACCCACCTCTCGTCCGCCATCACGATGGCGTCGAACATGTCTTGACTCCCGGCCATGGCGACTCCCCGCCCGACCCGGCTCGCCGGGCCCTTCGGGCTCCCCCGGCCCGCGCAGCCGCCGCCACCCGCGAGGCTCGAGCACGCACTCACCGCGGCTGCGGAGGGGAAGCCACTTCCGGGGGCGGCGGCGCGGGGCAGGCCGGGTAAGGACGGCGCGCGCGAGGGCCCAGCCGGCGCGGCGAGGGCCCGGACGCATGCGCGCCGGGGGCGGGGCCGGCGAAGTCGAGACTTAACCTTTGCCAAATAAAAGCTTCAAAGTCTACGTGGGACATCCAGGTGAGCGTGCAGGTGCAGTTTTTCCACAAGAAGAGCCTGGAGGAAATCTTGAAGGGAAAACCAATGTATTTTACTACGGGAAAATGCAAACTCGCGCATGCCCAAAGTGGTGATAACATTAAAGCTAAGGAGCAATCTGGAGGTGTGTTTGTCCTAAATATTACAGCTAAGGGGATAATGTGTCTGGTTTATAAAGAACTTACCAAAAAGGATAAGCAATGAGTGCATCCTAACAGGGACGAAGAGATGGGCCAGAGGCTTGAGTGCGAGATTCACCGGTGCGGCAGGCAGCGTGGAGAAGGGGGTGTCTGTGCCCGTGACCTTGGAACTTAACCTCCAGGACTTACTCTGATGTTCGCTGCAGCACGGTCTGCACATGCACCCCGAGGACTCCAGCAGCCGCCAAAAATCATGTTTGAGGCGAAAGTAAGATCATGGAAAATGCTCCTGATGTTCAAGGAAAAAAAGTCTACGTATCCTCCAAGCCCAACTACATTAAACAATTACGCTTGTAAAAAGAATGAAAACACACCAAAATGTCCACAGTGACTAGACCTAGATTTTGGAATTACATTAATTTTTTAAATGTCCTCTTTTATATTTTTTTCTGAGTAGTAGTAGTCCCTGTTTGCACAGTGAACTTTAGTTACTCTTAGGAACATAAAAAAGCCCCATAAAACTTTTTTTTTTAAGAAGATGAAATTAAATAGACTTTGTATATTTTGTTCATTAAATATCTTTTCGTTTTTAGGAAGCAAACAAATCTGCTTTCCCACCACTCTGGCCACCAACTAATTTTTTTTAAAGATCAGGCATATTTCTTTAAAAAATATATGTATTTATTAGAGAGAGAGTGTGTGCGAGAGAGCACATGAGTGCAGGGGTGGGGCAGAGGGAGAGGGAGAGAGAATCCCAAACCCACTTAGTGCTCAGCACAGAGCAGATGAGGGGCTCCATCCCAGGACCCCAAGACCATGACATGAGCTGAAACGAAGAAGAGCCCAATGCTTAACCAACTGCACCACCCAGGCGCCCTGCCACCAATTAATTTTTGCTAATTTTGTTACATTTTTCCCTTTAAATTTTCACATAAAAATAATAATATATGTACAATGTTATACCCTTATCCCCACCTATTAATGGGTTAATGAAAGTTAACATTGTATTACAAAAATGTCCCAAATAAGGGAAAGGTTCTCTCATTATTACATATATAAAATAGATTTTTTAGACATAAACCTCAACAGCTGAAAGAAAATGAAACAAGCTACATCTTTTGGCATGGGAAAACAGTATGTGGTGGAGAAACAGACCGGTATAGGATAAAACCCGTGGATATAAAGACATATACAGGGGCGCCTGGGTGGCTCAGTCGGTTAAGTGTCTACCTTCAGCTCAGGTCATGATCCCTGGGTCCTGGGATGAGCCCTGCATCATCCTCTGGCTCCCTGCTCAGCGGGGAGCCTGCTCCTCCCTCCCACTTGTGCTCTCACTCTCTCAAATAAATAAATAAAATCTTCTAAAAAAATAAAAATAAAGTACATAGAGTACGAGTTTTAATTTCAAACTTTCAATAATTGTGCAAAGTTTTGAAAGATTATATGTGTAACAAAAATCAACACTATTCATTCAAACTATTGTTTTGAAAATAAAGCTTTGGAAAGATCTTCCCCTGCCATGTGTTCCATGCTTATGTTCCTAAAATACTGTCTTGAACCCAGATTGTTTTAACATTAAAGGGTAAAAGATTGGTTGTGTTACCTTGGATTTGTAATACTTGTTCACAAATTGCTTCATTTTCAAATAGGGAATCAGACTTTAAAAAGAGAGCCTCCAGGGTAGAAAAAGGGAATTTGAACATACAAATATAATTTATTTCAAAATCCTTAAATAAGTTTCAAATTCAGCATCCTTTTTAGCAACTGAATTCATTAAAAAGTAGGTAGAAAAACTCCGAATTAGCATTTCTCCTTGTTATCTTAGTTTTTTGAGGAAACATTCTGATATTTGCTCATGTAGAGATCTTAGGAACTGAAATTTCTGCATTTAATTGAATGGAATAAGAAATGATAAATTTGGGGGCACCTGGGTGGCTCAGTTGTTAAGCGTCTGCCTTCGACTCAGTCATGATCCAGGGTCCTGGGATGGAGCCCCACATCGGGCTCCCTGCTCCGCGGGAAGCCTGCTTCTCCCTCTCCCACTTCCCCTGCTTGTGTTCCGTCTCTTTCTGTCAAAATAAATAAATAAATAAAATCTTTTAAAAAAATGATAAATTTGTATAGGTACAATGAAAACTAAAAAGGTTTTCAAAGGTATAGAGCTTCCATATTTAGGATCTCTGAAAGCTGCCTTGATTGTATTTATTCTAATGACTTCAATACACTATTATTAAATACCTAATTTATAACAAAAGGTATAAAGGGGATGATATAATCAACTCCTAGGAATTTACCATATCAAATAGAATACACTTCAAAAAATTGTAATGTTTCACATATTCTTGTTCAAGTTCAAAGAGAACCAAATCGATATCACTAAAGTGAAAAACGAAATTCCTCAAAGTTCATTGGAAAGTATTCATTTACTAGAATTGATCTTTTTTTACATTCTACATGTATCTGCCACAAAATACTCGGCAGCGTGCAAAACTAACCAAACCAAACCTGAACATGTAGATCTATACTGCTAACCCAGAATCACAACCGTTTTATTAGCGAGTTAAAAACAAAATGCACTGGGGCACCTAGGTGGCTCAGTCATTAAGCATCTGCCTTCGGCTCAGGTCGTGATCCCGGGGTCCTGGAATCAAGCCCCGCATCGGGCTCCCTGCTCCGTAGGAAGCCTGCTTCTCCCTCTCCCGCTCCCTCTGCTTGTGTTCCCTCTCTCGCTGTTTCTCTCTCTGTCAAATAAATAAATAAAATCTTAAAAAAAAAAAAGTGTCATTTGTTCCCATGGTGGTTAAAGAAGAAAACTGCGGGTCTCTCAACCAGTTTTGATATATGTTTAAAAATAATCTGCAAGGGTAGGAGCCCTAACCTGTTGCAGATTAATTCTGTCCTTAGCTACGGAGCTGGAGTGCTCATTTCTGGCTAATGGACTGATGAGATTACAAGTAATCTTTCTCTTCTCCCGTAGGTGTTTCTGTGTTTGATGTTTCTTTTAGTCATGGAGCAAAAGTGCCTTTCGTAATCAGAAGGAAAAAAAAGTGATTTCAAATTCTTTTTTTTTTAAGATTTTATTTATTTATTTGAGAGAGAGAGAGATAGTGACAGAGATAGTGAGAGAGAGAGCCCAAGCCGGGAGGAGAGGGAGAAGCAGACTCCCCTGCTGAGCAGGGAGCCCGATGCGGGGCTCCATCAGGACCCTGGGATCGTGACCTGAGCCAAAGGCAGACACTTAACCAATTGAGCCACCCAGGCGCCCTGCAAATGGCAAGATTTCATTCTTTCTGAAGGCTGAGTAATATTCCATTGTGTATATATACCACCTCTTCTTTATCCATTCATCAATCAATGGACACTTGGGCTGCTTCCATAATTTGGCTATTGTAGATAATGCTGCTTTAAACATTGGGGTGCAAAAGTATCCCTTTGAATTGGTGTTTTTGTATTTTGGGGGTAAACACCCAGTAGTGTGATTACTAGATAACAAAGTAGCTGTATTTGTAACTTTTTGAGGAGGAACCTCCATCCTGTTGTCCACAGTGGCTGGACCAGTGTGCCTTCCCAGGAGGGCCATTTTCTACCTGCCTGCTCAGGAATCTCTTGCAGCCAAACGGTAGGAGACCTGCGATGGGACTGAGGGTCTGGTGCTGTGACCGGTGACCAAGAGGCTTCTTGGAGCACTCACACCCACAGAAGGGCCCCAGCCAGCAGGGGTCAGCCTCCACCCCTGGGACAAGCTCTGAGATTTGGGCCAGAGCCTGTGACCCCAGTGCCCCCAAGCTCCTAATCACTCCATGGTCTTGACTGCCCTGGGACCCACAGGGACCTAACCAGTGCCTCCAAATGCAAGAAGGAGAAAAGGTGAGTCTGGGCAAGTAGGCCCCACCAGAGTTCTGTAATGCTCGGTTGGTCTCAGGGGAGTCATATGCTTATGGAGAAGCAGAGACTATTTGGGGGAAAGTAGCACAAAGATCTGCTTTCGGCCCTTTCACTGAGAGAGCACCAACTTCTCCCATGCACCTTGCTTAGGCTTGGCTGTGCCGCAGTCCCAAACACACACCTTGACGTCTTCGTGGTTTCTGCCAGGAAGGGCTCATTCCCGCTTACACAGACTCCAGTATGGGCTGGGCAGAGGTGCCTCCAAAACTGTGATTTTCAAAGTAAATACAGTTCTAAAAGAACATATGAATGTTTGAATATTAGCAGATGCCAAACTTGCGAAGCTTCCTTTGCAAATGGCCTGTGACAGAGTGGATGCTCTGTAGATGGTGTTAAGTGAGTAAGTGAAAGAACTCGGCTGGCAGCTCTCTGGGAAGGCCCCCCGGGGCCAGGGGAGGGAGGAGAGGCCAGAGGCCAGCAGGGCTGTTTGCCTGGCATGTTTGACCACAGAGTGCAGGGTCACCCCCATAGAGGGTGGCCTTCCACCGTGGCCCCTCAGAGAGGGAGCGGTCCTGTTGAGGCCACATGGGGCTGTGAAGGCAGGACCCAGCCCTGATGCCCACCCCCAACCTGCTGTTCCTGGAGAGGAGGCGTGAGGGCTCACAAACCCCTAGCAGAGGCTGTAGAGGGTCTCTGCGTTGTGACACCCCTTCCTTTCTTCAGAGGGCCTCAGCTCTGGTCCTCCAGTGTCTGACTTCCCAGGGCTGTGGCCCCTT